GGAACACGAAGTGCCACATTTTCATGTATTCTGATGGTCAAAGGACTCAATGTCTAGCATTGTCTTTCATGTTCTCCCTTCCATCTAGAGATCATGACTAATACCAGCACTCATAAACATGTGAGCACGACTCATACCAAGGTGCCATTAGACTTATAAGTCACTTCCATAATTTTCAATTTTTTTTTTAACAGGCTCTAACAAAAAAAGTTTACGGGGACTTTGCTATTCCATGCCTTTGACGACGAAGCAAAAACTCATCGCTTGCTGATCAAATTCAGTCGCACAACAGAATGGAAATAGAACTTCAGGTCTGAAGTTTGAGGTTTTGAACAACAGATCAACCTATAGTATAATGGCACACGGGTAGTAACTCATAAGTGCTCCGTTCTTCGTCTAACTCAAGTCTGAGTCCAAAGAAGCTCAGCAAAGGCACTGGCTCTGTAGCACCGGCGAGGTTCCTAAAATACTTTAGATAGATTTTTTTTAACTCCAAATTTTGCCCGGGCGAGGCCTTTAGGCTATTCATTTCGATTTCCAACTGCGAAGGGATTTTTTTTACGTGAGCAACAATGCACACGGGCGTCCGATCTCATTATCCAGAGAACAAGGGGAATTACTAGAAGTCTAAGTCCACGTGAAAAAATCGCCTCTAAACGAGGATTTAACTCGGAACCTCTAACATTCGAGGGGGGGGGGGGCACCATGTCTCGAGACGACGCACCCCCCCCCCCTAAATAGAACTTCAAAATTTGAATGCAAATGTCGTTATAATTAATTATATATAATTATCTCCACTTCCACATACAATGTACAAAAGCACTTGGGCTTGCGAGGGAAAGAGCGTAAACGGGCGCTAAAACAACTGGGCGAAGCTGCGGAAAGAGCTTCGAGCCGGCTGTGGACACAACGGAACGTTGTGGGAGATGGACCTCGGTAGACTAGTCCGAGTCCCTAGTGGAAAAAAGCTTTACATACCTTTAAGCCAAAGTGCCCGATAAAATGTACGTTAATGTATATCTGCCAATTGCCAAAGTCTAGTCTGTCCGATGAACCAGCCGCAAGATTGTCTCTCTGGTCGTGAAGGTAGTCGGCTAATTTACTACTGCAGCGGCATTACATAACACCGAATCTCACAATACATGTTGCAAAGTCACCATTTCGTCTTGTCCCTGTCCAAACGTCCGATAAGGTTCAGCAGGTGAAGTCCGAGGCCTGGCTTCAATACCCAGGTCGGCCCACCTTCCGAGATTGTCTAGAAGTTAATGTGTTGAGACAGTTGTCGACGAAGATCCTTTCTACTGATGATCGATGGATATCTGATGTGTATGCTCCCCTGTTGAGTAATTCTTTGTGCATGTAACCCATTGCACTCATTAAAAAAAAAAAAAAAAAAACTTGTTTTCAAACTTTTTTTATTACATTTTTTACACCCACCCATGCAAACGCACATACATGCGTGTGCATACGCACTCGCGCACAAACAGACCCACATACTTGCAGCACGTACACCATCACATACATAGACGCACTCAGTCACTTACACATCCTGGAAGTCTACGGGAGTGGACTTAGACACTTCAGCAGTTGGCCTCGCCCACTCAAGACTGTACGTTTGGCTTCTCATGTTCGAGAGTGATAATGTTTCAGAAATCCCTGGTAATCGTCGCTGGGGCCACTAAGTTTGTGTTTTTGGGTGATGCTCGCAAGCCCGCTTAGCCAGGAGAAACCAGGTTATTTGGAGAGAGAGAGAGAGAGAGAGAGAGAGAGAGAGAGAGAGAGAGAGAGAGAAAGAGAGAGAGAGAGAGAGAGAGAGAGAGAGAGAGAGAGAGAGAGAGAGACCTGTTGTATGTTGTCGCTGTAACCGTTTTTAAGCACCGGGAGTCACAACCAGTGCATCCTAAATAATTTTGTAACACTGGGCCAAAAATAAACAAATTAACTGACTTGTAGCAGCATACAGATGTGTTGTGTTGAATTAAGAAGTGACATCATAGCACTCAGGAATTTCCATAATCACTTCGTCCACATATTCAGCAGCCAAAGAGTAAGTCCTAATGATGATGGTACCAGTTGCATCTGACTCTTTGTCCACCTCGCCTTTTCCCTAAATTGTATAGTGTCCGCCAGACACCCACTGCCAGTAGCACCAATCTCTTCAGACCATGAGGATCTATCTTTTTGTTCCTCTGCACTGTTTACTCTCTCTCAAAGGGCCTTGACCATATCTAGCTTGTGAATCGTCACAAGTTGTGTGAAATCAGCCATTCTTTTTTTTTTTTTCTTTTTCGCTATGAACCCCCATGCACTCCTTCTCTCTCTTAACACAGAGGCATATGTACAGATAATATATAATGCTACAATTTGAGCCTATCCATAAAAGACAGCAAAGTATATATCGCATGAATACTAGTGGGGTATTTTCTCCAGAATAATATTCATGGTATAAATGCATCGAAGTTTCATCAGCTGACTCGTTGATGCCATCAACATATAATTTTTTTAAAGGAAACATTGCTATTATACCTTACTCATCCCCTTGTGGGATGCAATTTTTCGTTATTTTGAAGCCCTACCATGGCTCTTGCCAGGGGCTTGCAATATAGCCTAGCCATTAATATGGCCTAATGGCTGAAAGCGGTTTCTCGGACCTCTCCACGGGTGATCCTCGTCCACATGGTGGCACTTTGTGTCACTGGGTGTTTATCGCTTGTGTGATGTCCTGGTGGAATAAAAATACCACTAGTTCATCATTATTATAACTTGAAAGTCATGCCCAATTATTGACCATTAAAACGGGTTTCTTGGACATGGTAACGCCAACGCAGAAGCGTAAAATGTTCAGCTGGTTAAAAAAAAAAACGACATCACATCACTCGCAGCATTCCCATAAGCGTTTCGTTCCAATATCAGTGGTGCCATTAACAGTCTCATTATGTGTCCGTCTTAAATTTCCTATGAGCTTCAAGTATCAGCCAGATCCCCTTGTCACTACTAGTTGCATCACTCTCCCCAGACTGTGATGATTTATTTGCTATTAGAATTGAGCATGTGCTCCCATAAGGCCTTAACCACGCCTGCCTTGTCATGCATCAGTATTCCACCAAATTGTGCAGGACCAGGCAATCTGTTCCGCCTGTTTTCTTTTCACAAAAGGCCGGCATGACCTGGAGAAAAAAATCCAGACAATACTCTTCATACTTGACCTCTGAAGCAAAGCATGCTGCTCTGCGCGAAGCATGCCTGTCCTTACCTTGTCCAGCATGCTTTCTGAGTTAGTTATAGTCACGATCTATATGTGTGTGTGTGTGTGTGTGTATGTGTGTGTATGTGTTTCTGCGTGAGTATTGTGTTCTCTAGCCAGCAGAAGGCTGCGGTTACCGCTTCCACTTTCGTTCTTGGGCCGGATATTGTGGCATCCTAAGCTGCGCGGTCCTGCACCAGACTTTGACCATTAACTTTTGCTAAGAACCCACAGGCACTACTCTTTGCTCTTGACACTAAACCATCTGTATAAACAAACACATCACCAGAGCGGGCATTATCCTGAACTAACTGCTGAATTTTCATCTCCATGGAACATGTTGACCACTCCGTGCACTCTCGGCTCAATGTGATTATGATTCTACACAAGCCTGACTCTTCTCCTCGTCTAATGCTCTCTAGTAAGCAAACCTCTCAGATCGTGTCCTCCGCATGAGCCACTTCCTTCTTATCAGCCGCAGACGCTTAACTGCACCCAGCGCTTCCTGCAAAGGGGTGATCTGTGTCTGCAGTTATACTGAGGCATGACTTCGCCTGCAGCACCTTGAGCCTAACTGCAATAGTCGGAAAATCAAAAGATACACACCACTTGGGGCATCTCTCTGGTACATCCCAAAATGACCCGCATAGAAACGTTCTGTATGTGCTCAAATTTAACCAGATGACTCTTTGAGACAGTCAGCAGTCTTAGCCCATAAGCAGCCACTGAGAGGACCAGGCGCTGATATAGTGTAAAAAATATTTGCTGCTCTATATCCATTGCAGCCATTACCTCAAGTACATTGCGTTCCTTTTGATATCTTGTCAATACCGTCTTCACATGGTCCTTGAAGGACAGGATCCCATCAAGTGCAATTCCCAGATACTTCAGTTTGCTCTCTCTGTTGACGTCTCTCCAGTCTGTCATGAGACTTGTGACATCAGCTTTAACAATCTCGTTGTCTAGAGAACACCACACAACAGAAGCTTTTTCTGGGCGGACGACAGCATTCATTTATGTACACCAGTCAATCACTTTCTCTGCTGTCGCCTGAAGCTCCTGGGCTGTTTGCTCCCTATTTCTGAATATGATCTGCAAGTGGCTTTAACATTTCAACCGTTGGGGCTACTAGGTTTGCAGTCTTGCTCGTAACCCCATTAAAGGACACAGACAAGAAGGCGGATCCCTGTGAGAGTCCCAAGGCCCTTAAATGTCGCTCTCATGTCCTTGAACCCAGACGGAGAGCAACGACAAGGATAAAGGACAGCTGCTATACAGTTCACCAGCAAGGATATGACCCACCCCCCCCCCCGCCCTTTCTACGTCAGCACAGTCATCAAAATATCGTATCTAACTCTGAGATAAAGCAGCATAAAGACATTGAGTTAACTAAAATCACTGTTAACACAATACAAACAGAATTATGAACTGGTAAGAGTTTCAACTGGTTTATTGAACTTAAAAACACACTGAGAACTATAAAACTACAAACTGTAAGGGGGAAAAAAAACTGCCACTACTGCATGTTTTATCACCTTTTCTGAGCGGTGTAGACAGGCGGTCGTGAGCCTGGGGATTTGGGCCGTAAGGCTTGTGCTGTCGCCACGGACTGTGCAGGATGGGATACGAAACTATAATCACCTAAAAATTACTAATACAATTTTGGTAGGAAAGCAACATGTCTAATTAAGTAGAATTAAAACTGATTTCTTGAACATGGAACTCAAATCCAGCGGTACATAGACATTTACTTAATTTAATTACTTCCGGTAAGACTTTGAAAGAGAAACATTGTGGCTAACTGTTGACAGTTAAAACCGAATCCTTGAGCCTGCTGAATCGGCACCGCAGGCTGAAAGGGTGGTGGTGCGGCCAGCAATGGTTGCGATAATGGCTGCAAAGGTGCTGATGCACCCAGCAATGGTTGCAGTAAGGGCTGCAAGAGGGGCACCTGAAGCAACGGCTGGAGAACCGGTGACAACGGTTGCAATAATGGCTGCAGTATTGGAGCTAATTGCTGTAGTAATGGCTGTAGAACTGGCGTTAACTGTTGTAGTAATGGCTGTAGTACTGGCGATAATTGTTGCAGTAACTGTTGTAATACTGGAAGTAATTGTTGTATTAATGGTTGCAATACAGGTATTAATTGTTGAAGTAACGGTTGCAGTATTGGCACTAATTGCTGCACTAGTGGTTGCAGTACTGGAGTTAATTGTTGCAGTAATTGTGTCAAAGCCGGTGTTAATTGTTGTAGTAACTGTCGAAGTGTAGGCGTTAACTGTTGTACTAGTGGCGCTAAAACTGGTGTAAGTTGTTGCAGTAATGATTGCAACACTGGTGTCAGTTGTTGCAGTAATGGTTGTAGTACTTGTCCTAACGATGGTGCAGATCCTAGCAATGGCTGCACAACTGGCGTTAGTTGCTGCTGTACTGGTTGCAGCAGTGGTGATAGTTGCTGCAGAGGTCCCCCAAGTAGATTCAGCGGATTACCACCTAAGCCTGCATAATAACAATTACAATGTTGTTTAATTAAATGTTTATTCGTTTAAATCATCAACTAAACATTAAGTTTTGTAGACTTTGAAAAAAAAATTTCTTCTCACTAAAGAAAAGTAAATTAGAAAAATATAACTGCTGCTAAAGTTTTCTAGACATTTCAATATCTGTCGATTTGCAAAGTAACGACAATAAGAAAAAAAAATCGACTCGCCAGAAAAGACAATTAGAAAAAGACACTGCAGTAATGGACAATTAATTAGAAGTAAACTAATCCTTTTTCACGCCAAAGGTAATCGACCATATGGTGATTGGCACATATTTTTATAGACTGATCGCCACTCGACGAGCTATGTTGTCAACAGCAGGCGGCCGCCTTTACACCCCGGATATTTTCTGGTACCACTTTTAAGCTGGGTCAAGCTGAAAACCAAGGTCTATTTTTTTTTTAACAAAAAAGATAAAAAAAGGCACCACAGATTCGAATTTAAGACATTCAGACTATTAGCATTTAGCCACTACCCTACTGCCGCTCCTGGAAATTTCATCGTAATATGGCAATTATCCTGATAACTTATCCTTACAATTTTAGTTACATATCGTCCTCTCTGCTTTTCTTTGTTCCTATAACATCGTTGGTCGCAACAGCAGGTGAATGTATAGAACAGAGCTACCGTGTGTGTCGTATTAGGCCACGCTTTCCCACACCATAGGTCGCGACCCTGTTTGGGGTCATGAAAGGTTTTCTACGGTGTTGCCTGGCAATTGTGAGCTATTCCAGTTTTTAAAGAGAAATCGAGACACCACGTCTTGCGTCCTGTCCAGAGAAAGTAAAAAGAACTACTCCAGTATTTTCTTTGTGTTTTTATTTACACTATTAAAGGCCTATTTATAATGCATGTGGTCAGTGGTCACTTTACCTATGTAAAATGGAGTAGCGACTCAAAGGTTATGAATCGCTGCCTAAAAATGCAACTTCTTCATCCTTTTATTGACTGGGTTAGCTTTTGTGGTTAGCTTTGTAAGACATTGCACATCCTGGTTTTTATGTTGTCATCCTTGTCCCACTATAGTGCTCATTACCGGGCTCACCAGAATAGTAGCTCACTTTCAGACCAGTCCTCGAGTTGGTTCTTCTCTTCTAAGATTCCAGTCTTTAAGATTAAAACCCCAAAGACGGTTGTGAAATAACCTGCAATCCAGTGTGAAATGCAAATAAACACAGGGCGTTGTGGTATATTGCTCCCTTTGACTTTGGGCGACGGAACTTGGAAGCTCGGACCCTTCTTAGACCAGTCGGTTAAAGGGTGCTAGACCAGTATTTGTATAGAGTATAGACCAATCGGTACTAGAAGAGTGATGTTGCTAATTTCATGTCTACCGTCTCTACATCCTAGGAAATTTCCTGGTGCCTATTTTAGACAAGTTTTAGACTAACTACATAACTGAAATTATAATATGTTATATTACTTTATATTATATTATATTATACATTTGATTATATGGTTCAGATAAATTGTTTAAAATATCCGCCGAGATGTGGATGCGAACCAATGACGTTCAGACCGACAAGCAAGTGCCAAGCCCCTGCCCTAATGTGGCTCCTTCTCATTATTAATACAAAGAGAATCTGCGTACAGTAGAGGAAATGCTTAGAAGAGTCCATACCCAAATGCACATATCGGGAGCGCCGCCACAGTAAAAACAATCGGAAGGCTCAACTACACCCCCTCCCCTCCACCCACGCCACCCCCCCCCCTTCCCCTACAACCAATAATTTTCTAAGTTCAGGAAGTGGCTCAAGCCTTGTCAAAATGTGTAATTGACACCATAGGCGTGGGAACCAGCCGTCCCAATATGAGACGCAATTTGTTATTATTTTAAAACCCCACTCCGGCTGATGTCGGGGGCTTTAATATAACCAACTTATGGGTTGAACGAGGTTTCTTGGACCTGTCCCCCGGTTATCCTGATTCGAATGGTGGCACTTGCTGTCATCGGGTGTTTTGTCGCTCAGTGTGATGTCCTGGTGGGATTGAACGTCAATCAATCAATCAATCAATCAATCAATCAATCAATCAGGTCTCTAAGACATTTTAGTGGGAGTGGGGTTGAGCTCCCCTGACAAATTATGGGATTCTGATGGAACCTTACTCCACCCCCTTTCCATCCCACTTTTTCCGTTTCCTGCTTCCAGCCACTTCTTGCAGATCTTATAAATATACACCCATGTTGATTCCAGAGCCCTATATTGAGATTTGCGGGGGAGGGGGGGAGGGGGTGTATACCTACTGTCCACTAGAAAGCATGTTAATAGGTTAACTCAGTGTTTTCTTAATCACGCCGTCTTTTTTTTTTTTTTTTAAATAACATTATTCCACGGCACTTAATCTAAGTAAAAGTATGACTATTTGTATGTAACAAAGAAAAAAAAAATTAAACTCGTGTGTCTGTGAAAATTTCGCCGCGCCCCTGTGCAGAGGTCTTGGCTCACCGGGGAGCCGCGGCGCACAGTTTGGAAATCACTCGGCTAACTAATTAAAGATTTACTGAAATATAATGCTTTGGGTCAAAAGAAGTAGATGTCGAGGTCTAGTTGTAAACACACTGTGCCAGCTACACTTTTGAGGGCGAATACAGCAAAAGACAAATCTACATCCGCAACGGATAGCTCATTTAATGAAGAGTTTACAGATCAGGAGCTAAACACCATCAGAAAAAAAAAAAAAAAGACAAAAGAATTTGCTCACTAGATTCTTTTTTTGCTGGACATTTTAATACCATTGTTTTTATTTCCTACAACTGTCTCCTTGTTACAGTGCCGGTTATTTTGGCGACTCATTCGTCAGGCTAGACGCGGAAGTACACTGACCTTGGTGGCAACAATGTCACAGTGTGATTTGTGGCTAACTAAATATGGCTGTGGATGTGACGAACTGTGCCGAGACTAACCTGGGATTTGAGACTGACACTGATGAATGAGAAGCGTCATAACCATCAGCCCAAGTCGTGACCCGGTAGAAGAACTTGCCAGGGACCTCATTCTGAAAGTAACAACGTGGATACATTAACACTGGGTGCATTTTCTTTACAACACTAAATAAATATGTTTGATGTCTTAGTCTAAGTCGTGGTTTCAGTTTCACTGCGTTTGATTCACCCCATACTGGTTCCGTTTCTGAGCCAGTGCAATTCAAATGAGATGCCCCTCACTGTCCCATTTGAAAAATGGTTAACAAACAATTAGTCCCGGTATTAGTCAAAAATGTGCACACGCAGTAAATGCATATGACAATTGCTATAAGCGAGAAAGCTAGCAGTCGCCGCCATGAATGCAGTTTGTCGTTGATGAAGAAGTCGGTCACGATACGTTTGGGCTGTTGATACTTACGTAAAATTGTTACCGATCATATTGTATACCACAACTCACTGCTGCATAAATGAAAACCATTGCAAATAAAGAACATAACTCGCGCTGTCAGAAGCAAAAATAACCTCGAAGCTAAACTTTCTGCTGTGCCTAGTCCTCCATAACAGGCCGGAAGTCATATGTTTGCTGTTGCTACTTCTTCTTCTTCTGTGGTCATCCGAAGATATAATTGGGCTGTACCCGTTTACAGCATGGCTGTCTTTCTCAGACACATCAGACTTCTGCAAACATTTGTTGACCGGGTTAGCCTTCCCGGATAATGCTGCTGCTGCTTCAAGAATTTCGTCATACTGAAGAAATAAAGCAATCAGGGACTGAATCCGCAATTCAAGCTGCTCAGAACACGCCGTGCCTTCAAGTTTTAGTTACACACCCTAACAGATCGTTGTACTGTACATGCTTATATCTTTTTTTTGGGTCTGTTTTTTCTTTTACTTGTGTGTGTGTGCTTGTGTGTCTGTGTATGTATGTATGTATGTATGTATATATATATATATATATATATATATATATATATATATATATATATATATATATATATATGTGTGTGTGTGTGTGTGTGTGTGTGTGTGTGTGTGTGTGCATGTGCCCCAAAGTCCCCCATCCTTCCTATTTCCCTGAGGGTATTAGTAACATAGCATGATCCATAGGCTGACCGTCGATAGTGATATGAGAAGTGTGTTACACCGTTTCCTATCTTGTCCTCGAAGACTGCAGTGACTTGTTTTACCAGGCTTCAGTCTGATGTGGTTGTCTATTTGATGTTTCGACAAGCCTATAAACATTTTTCTTCGACTTCTCTTGACACGTTTCTCCGAGATCAAAAAGAAAAGATGACTAAAAATGCATCTGATCATCACACCTTACACAATCATTCTTTCCTTAATATGTGTTCTTTTACTTGTGTGTGTGTTTGTGTGTCTTCTGTGTATCTGTGTTCATGTGTGTGATTAAGAACGTGCTGCGCTGCGAGGAGCGGCTGACCGAATTGTTAAAACGCTGGGCTCTCAAGCGGGAGACCAGGCTCGAATTCTCGGAAAGGCTAGGGATTTTTTTATGTAACTACTACTACTACTACTACTACTACTACTACTACTACTACTACTACTACTACTACTACTACTACTACTACTACTACTACTACTACTACTACTACTTAAAACAACAACTACTACTACTACCGCTGCTGTTGCTGCAAATACTGTTGCAGCTGCAACTACTACTATCACCACTACAACTACTACTGTGGCTATTATTGCCTGTGTTGTTGCTACAGTATTACTATTTTATCTACTACTGCTCATATTACATATAACTGCTGCTACTATTATTTCTACAACAACTACTACTACTGCTGCTGCTGTTGCTGCTGCTACTACCACCACCACCGTTGCTATCACTGCTGCTGTTATTACTACTACTACTACTACTACTACTACTACTGTATTTGTGTTGCTGCTGCTGCTACTGTTGCTGCTGCTGCTGTGCCACTACTACTATTACTAACACTGATACTTATTTTTCTAGTTAGCGTTCACCAGCTGTAAACTCCGGCGAAAAGTTCCAGTTGTTCGTCCGATTTTTGACTTTTTTCTTGCTGCAGAACTTGAATTTTGCGTGTATAAACACAGATCTGGCCTACTTGTGTGCACATTGTTAGTTTCCTTGCCTCTCCAGCAGATGCACTTCGTCTTCTAAGGAAACACCTCTCATTAGTGGACTTTTTTTTATGCCTGCTTGTTAGCGGCCAGTGCTACCACTACTTCTGTTACTATCATTGCTACTTCAACAGTTATATTTCTCGTCCTTTTTATGGCCTAAAGGCTGAACTCGGTTTCTGGGACCTCTCCACGGTGATCCTCACCCGCATGGTAGCACATTGTGTCAACGGGTGTTTATCGCTTGTGTGATGTCCTGGTGGGGTAGAAAGTCAATCAGTCTGCTCTTCGAATACAAGTACTACTACTCCTCCTACTGCTGCTGTTACTATAACTACCACTACTAATACTATCACTAATGCTGCTACTTTCACAGTATTACTACAAAAACATAACATCTACCACTGCTACTACTGTTGCCACAGCTGCCCCTATTATTACTGTTTGTAATGCTGCTGCTACTACTACTGTATTACTACAACACTTCTACCACAGCACAAGTACTGCTACTACTGTTTCTACAATTACCACTGCTACTGTTATTAATGCTGCTACAACTACTACTATATTATTATTACTACAACAACACAAGTATAATATCTGTTACTGCTGTTTCTACAGTTCTCACTATTACTACTGTTACTACAAGAAAGAAAAAAGAAAACGAGACAACTACCTGCAGTAGTACACAATGCAGCAGTTAATAATTCAAAGAACATGTTAAACAGTTTTATAATGCTTGAGGGGGAAAAAAAAAGCTTCTCAAATATAATTCTAATACTTTACATTTCCTGTTACGTTGACATGAACAACGAAACCAAATGTTGAAAGCTCCAGATATAAAAATACGACCGTGAAGCTCTTTGAAGAGAGGTGGTGGGGTGGGAGGGGACTACCTCATTTGGGGGAATGAGAGAGTGTGGCAAAGGTTGGTGGGGGAGGGTGGGGGTGGCATTTCAAAGCTGACTAAATGTAAAGGCTCCTTAAAAAATATTAAGGCTACTGGGTATATGGTAAAAGGAATAGTTTTACTACGTCAAATGGAGCATTTAGTGCCAGTCGCCAGTTAAAATGCGCTCGTGACGTAGTCAATCAAATGTACACTTGATACTAACACTTCTAATGATTACATCTACCTGTAAACAGAAACTTGGAGGCAATCACATATTCCCGTCAATGATCTTTTATATACAGACACAATATACATATGCACGAGAACGCACACACAAACACACACACATGCACATACACAAATAAATACACGCACTATCGGAGACATGCACTGCCTGGTACAAGGTATCTGAAAGAGAAACCGGGCTCGTTGCATTCTGACATGTGAAGAAGGAAACACAAACTACTTTGATTATGTTTTGACATTTGCAGAAGGAAATGAAGACCCTACCCCCACCCCCTTTTTTTGGTTCACACACACACACACCAACCCCACAATCAGCCCCACCTCACCCTTCAGTGCATATTAAACCTATGATAAATAACCTCTTACACTTAGAAGGATATCCATGTGTAAGTTAAGTATGTGTTAGCAAGAGAGTGTACGTTATACATGGCTGTTGTACAGACAAAAGACGATGTGTCCTACTGAAAAGGGCGGGAGGGGGGGGGGTGGAAATTAGTCAAGCGCCGTCCTAACAGAAAAATTACCTACAACTGATTCCCCCTCCCCCTCCGGCCCCCGCCACCCCTTTTTTTCTATCCCTCCCGAATCTCCACAACACTTTGTACCAACTATTTAGTTATTCACTCTTATAGACTGTCAGCTCTCTATGAAACATACATAGAGAGAACTGAAAATTGTAGTCGGTTGCCCTCATTGCTCCCTGGTTTCGGTTTTCTTGAGGCTTCTGAAAGAAATTGATGAGTAGATTTCTTACCATCAGTCAGCAAATTATTGACAGGACATCGGTCTCGCTACAGCACCCTTGAAAGTGTTTCTTTCTCTAGCCAATTCTCCAGCCCTATGTGCTTTCATAATCAATGCATCTTCAATGTCTTGGGTCCACATCGCGGTGGTCTACATCTGCCTCATCTTCCGGAGACTGCCCCGTCTACTACTGTTTTCTCCAAGCGACTACGACGTTTAACATGGTCAAAATATACCTCAGTTTTTCTGACAGGATGCTGTTTACCAGCCAGTTCTCCTCAATGCTCAGATGATGAAGGAGGTCAGGATTTTTATTTTTCCTTGGCTTATGGTTCTCTAAGAACTGTTAGATTCCTGCAGAGCTATAAACATTTTTGTAACGTCTCTCGAGACAGACCCACCGAAACTGCTCGTCAAGCTGCATAAGGACATTAAAAGCTCTCAGATATGTCCTTTATTTTACAATACACCTTTTTTACCTTTTAACTGACTTGCAGACAAATAATAACATGGGTTACAATCCACATACACAGTTTTTTTTAAATGACTTAGTCGACCCAGGTTAAAAATAGATAACAGAAAATACAGGGAACAAATGATATTGTCCACATCAGTCTCGAGTTCCAGTCAGCCAGTAAAAAGGGTACACCAGATGGGGGTTCTGGGGCCCTATTATAGGGAAAACAATAATAGACCCACTGCGTACCCAAAAGCATGTCGTAAGAGTCGACTGATTGGGAGCTTCCTTCGACGTCGTAGTGCATCTGCCTGAGAGGCAAGGAACCAACAGTCTGCACACAAATGTTTCAGAACTGTCAAACGGATGCACAGGCAAAACCCCTGTTTTGGAACAGGACTGCAGTCCAGAAGCGGACGAACAACCAAAACTGTCCACTAGAGTTTACAGCTGGGGAACGCAAAGAAGAAGAAGAAATGTACACCATATACCCGATTGAAGTCGCCATGGTGTAGCGGCTAGACACTCGCCTGCGGATCCGAAGGTCGTGGGTTTAGGTCCGGACAGAGCCAGACAATTTTCGTTTTTAAGAATGACCTTGGTTCCCAGCATTAAA